TCGAGACGGCCAAATCTAGAAGGTCGACCGTGACCGGCCGAGGTCAAATTCTAGAACGCGCGGGCCGGGCAACATTGTAGAAGGGAGCACTTCGAGGATGCGGCCCCCACCTCCCCCTCTCCACACCCCCCCTGGAGACGGGGGGTCCGCTTATAGTAATCGATAAGGGAGGGGTGGTTGCAGGCGAATGTACCACCTCCGTTTTTTGGGTTTCCAACCGCCCAAGTCAGACATCTATGGGCAATTCCTCCACAAGGGGGATCTATGTGTAACGCCCTTACAGACGGAATGCGTGTGTAGATCCTTCACAGAAGGAATGCTGGTAGGAGGATGGTACTTTCTGGAGGATGAGGAGGATGAGGAGCAGAGGGGAGGATGAGGAGGATGGGGGAGTGACTCCTCAACCTCCCCCGCATCCTGCTCCTCGGACTCTTCTGGCACCCCTTTAGACGGAGGAAGCGACGGAAGAGGCGAAGGAGAAGACGAGGGAAGAGCAGGAGGATGAGGAGAAGGAGGAGAAGGAGCAGGATGAGGAGACGAATGAAAAGGCGGAGAAGGACGAAATGGTTGAAGCAGACCTTTGATGGCGATGCGGGACGTGAGAGCGGGAAAGAAGAGGACACGAAGGAAACGGAGGAGAAGGAGGAGGCGGAGACGAAAGAAGAGAGAAAGAAAGAGAGAGAGAGAGAGAACACAAAGAAAGAGTCCCAAGGCAGCGGAGCGCGAAAAAGGTAGATCACAGAATCGCGGGTGAGATTTGTGCCCCCCACCCCCCAATCTGACCCGGATAGTGGCTTGGGGCGGCCCCGAACGATCGGCTTCGCTTATCACGACGTTGGAGTTCTAGGAGGATGAGGATAACGATGGTGGTGGCGATGCTGGTGTTGACGGTGACGGTGGTGATGGAGATATTGGTGATGGTGTGTCGTTGATGACGATGATGAGTATGCTGTTGATGAGGATGATGGGGATGGTTCCGAATCTTCTAGCGAGGCATCGGTGATGATAGCGAGGCTCCACGGAGTGCCAGTGGGACCCCACCCAGTGTTCGTGCCTATGTTATCCTCATGTCGACCCTCAGGTCGACTGTTCCACCGAGCTTTTGTGTTTGTTTGGGTTTGAGGCCCTAATGTACATTCGGTTGACGTCCCTAGCAGCGTACCATTCACATTCCCATGATGATGTAGATGATGACTGTGCTGATGTTGAGGATGAGTGCGATGACGATCATGATGACGATACGGGGAGGGGTACAAGGAAGCCGAAGGCCACAACCCCCATGACGACGATGACGACGACGATGACGATCATGACGATGATGGCGATGGTGATGATGATGCTGATTATGATGCTGCTGATGCTGATGGTAGTGGTGGTGATGCTTATGATGATGATGCTGATGATCGTGATGGTGTTGGTGGTGATGATGATGCTGGTGACGATGGTGATAATGATGATGCGGCTTATGATGATGATGATGCTGACGGTGATGATGATTCAGATGCTGGTGATGATGCTGATGATGATGCTGCTGATGATGGTGGTGGTGATAGTGGTGGTGATGCTGAGGATGGTGATACTGATGATTGTGATACTGGGAATGATGAGGGTGATGATGAGGATGAGGATGGGGATGAGGATGATGACGACGCTGCTGATGATGATGATGCTGAGGATGCGGATGATTATGATGATGCTGATGATTGTGATGATGATGATGATGATGATGATGATGATGATAATGCTGAGGATGATGATGATGATGATGATGATGATGATGATGATGATGATGATGATGATGATGATGATGATGATGATGATGTGCTAGTGAGCATGGCTATGCTGCTGCTAAGGATGATGATGATGGTAGTGATGGTGGTGCTGATGATGACGACGATGATAACGATGATGACGATTACAATGCCGATTATGCTGTTGTTCTTGGTTATGACGAGCAGGATCATGGCACGGATGGTGACGATCTTGGTGAGGATGGCGAGAGTGCTGGTGTTGGTGATGAGTACGATCAGGAGGGGGAGGTGGAGAAGGAAGAGGAGGAGGGTTTGGAGGAGGCGGAGGAAGGAGAGGAGGAAGGTGAAGGAGAAAGAGGAAGAAGAGGAGAGGGAGGAGGCGGGCGAGGAGGAGGAGAGGGGGAGGGTGAGGAAGGGGAGCGAGCTTGGAAGGGCGATCGCAGGGGGCGGGAACGGGGAGGATGACAGGAAGAGGCGCGAGCGGCGCAGGCATGGGGGACGGGGGACGGAACTGCTCGCTCGAGCGTTGAGAGTCGCCCTACTTTTTGGAGGGGCGCATTCGCGCTCCTCCTGGCTGGGCTCTCCAGGGTGCTTTTTTGCTCTGGTCGGCAGACCTCTCACGGGGGCCTCGCGCCCTCGGAGAAGGGGCTTCTGCTCTCGACCCACGTCCCTGTGGCCCCGCTCTTGCAGCCCATGCTCTTGGCCACCCACACGTTCTTGACTCGTGTTGATGTTTCGACTGTGGGGGC